CTACCAAAAGGTCATGTTTGTAAAATGTTTCAAATTCAAGAGTCTGAATAATCCATCAACATAGGTAGGTATCTCTTGGGCCATGTGGTATTCCAGTACCTGAATTTTTCAAAAATTTTTATCTTTAATTTTAATTATCAAGGTAAAATTTAGAATAAGTGAATAGTAAACTATATTACTTACTTATTTAACAAAAATATTTTGATATGTTTCAATAATAATAATAATTGAATAATTTGAAATTGATGTTGTGTGTAATTACAATCCAAGATGGCCATCACAACAAATAAGAGTAACTGGTGATGAAGCTGCATCAGACAAAAAAAAAAATTTTATGATTTTAGAAGAAAGAATAAATTAAGAAAAACAGGCAATTAAGATTTGGTATAAGAAGAAATAATAATAATAATAATAAATTGTAAAATAAAGAAGAAAAATGAATATATAAAAAATAACCAAAAACTTACATAAAAAATTTATTATTATTCATATAATTGATTTGATATATAGAAATCTTGACCTACAGTGTGGCACGTAATAATGTCCTACGATTTATGAATACAGAAATTTTTTTTAAAGAATATAAATTTATAGTTATGTTTTATGTTGAGATTGTTTAGTATCGAAAAAGATTTCGGTGGAAATTGAACAGTGGTAAAGTGTTAACGGGAAAAAAACCAAAAAAAATAAAATTTTCGAAATGAAGGTAGGATAAAGCTTTGAGTTTAAATAAAAAAAAAAAAAATAACCTAAACTGTACATACTACTACTATAATGGAGAGTTTTTTAAAAAGGATTATCTTAAAGGCAATCACTTTTAATAATCTAATTAAACAAAAACACTGACTATACATTTACTTAAGTTTGTAAATTTTAAAAAATTAAGTAAAATATTTACCAATATATAACTATTACTTGTAGTAAGCATCGTGGTAAATGCTATTTAACAGGTTTTATTCCTTTGAAAAGACGCTGTCGTTTTATTACACAATATGAAAATGTTTCAAGATGGAGACAATATCACCAAGCACGTTTTTTCTCAAATTTTTTAATTTAATAAACTTCAAATTGGATAAAAATTATTAAAACTCTTTTTTTAAAACTTAATAAAACTTTCTGTAGCTATTGAAAATAGTTTTAATATAAAATAACTACATTTTATTGAAAAACTTAAACATGCCTGCAATGAGCACAACTACAGTATTAACGGATGTTAAAACATAGACGTACAAATATTTTGGCGCCACGATGTGAGAGTTTTCGAACCACAGAGTATACAAAAATTACCATCTGTGAGAAATTAAAAAATTATCAAATCAGTTTTTGAAATAATTTCTTTTTTTTCGTGCGTAAAAATATAAAGGGATAGACTTTAAATTACACAAAAGAATCAAAATTTGTAAACGAAAACATTTTTTTTAATAAAATCGATTTCATTAAATAATATAAACGATAAAGGAATAAAATCGTAGACGTATTTGAGCTTTCTTAAAAAATTAAATGAATGCTTAATGATATATATATTACGAAATATTTTACTCTATGACTTAATTTTAATTTCAGATAACTATTTTACTGTGTCTTTTTATTGGATCGATCTCGGCTGAATATGTAGGTAATGGTAATGGTAATGGTAACTCTTATGGAGTACCTGCAGGTTTTACATCACCTCCTTCAGGACCGTATCCGCCTAGTGGATGGAAACCTTCTGGTATAGTATTAATGTTTATACCAAAAATTATATTCAACTAAATAAAATCTTTTGTCTGTTGCGCTGAATTTAATTTTTTAACGGTTTTTTTGTTTTAGGTAGAAGACTTTTATTACCAGGAGAAAGCCGAAATGGTAATGGGCCACCTTTGACAGAATATGGCCCATCTGTAGACAACCAATACATACCCATCACGGGACCAACTGGGGTAAAGAGAGAACTTTAAAATTTATTTATAAATTTGTATAAATTTTATGAGTTTTAATTTAATGTTTTAATTATAGCCATCCGGTAATGGAAACGGTTTCAATGGTAATGGAAATGGTCACAATGGCAATGGTAATGGTCATAACGGAAATGGTAATGGATTTACCAATGGAAATGGTAATGGCCATAACGGAAATGGCAATGGATTCTCCAATGGTAACGGACACAATGGAAATGGTAATGGTTATAACGGAAACGGCAATGGATTTGTAAATGGAAACGGTCTTAATGGAAATGGCAATGGTCATAACGGAAACGGTCACAATGGCAATGGTAATGGTCATAACGGAAATGGCAATGGTCATAACGGAAACGGTCACAATGGCAATGGTAATGGTCATAACGGAAATGGCAATGGTAATGGTCATAATGGAAACGGTAATGGATTTACCAATGGTAACGGTCATAATGGAAACGGCAATGGATTTACCAATGGAAACGGACACAATGGAAATGGCTTTAATGGAAACGGAAATGGTCACAATGGTAACGGATTTACAAATGGAAACGGTCACAATGGTAATGGCAATGGTTTCACCAACGGAAACGGTCACAATGGAAATGGATTAAACGGAAACGGTAACGGGCACAATGGAAATGGTAATGGCCACAATGGAAACGGTCTAAATGGTAATGGTAATGGTAACGGTAACGGTAACGGGCACAACGGAAACGGTAACGGACTTAATGGAAATGGAAACGGCAACGGAAATGGTTTCAACGGAAACGGTAACGGACTTAATGGAAATGGAAATGGAAACGGAAACGGCAACGGAAATGTTCCAGCCGTGTATTTACCTGCACAGGATTTAGGAGGAGGTCTTCCCTTCCTTCAATTATCCCTTCCAACTTCCGTTGCAGCTAGTCCATTAAAAACAGGAGCGAGTAGTTATTATTCAATTTATCGGCTTCCCTTAACTCAATCATCCGGATCGAGAGTTTTCACTACGTTTAACGGAGGAAACACTCTATCATCTTATCCCGCACTTCAAGCATTAACTACCGCTCCCGACGTAAACAATTTCTATTCCTACTCTCAAGTTCCATTAGGTACTACCTCTCAAGCATTCGGTAGTGGTTCGTATCCATATTACTTTAGTCAAGGAAGTGGTTTACTTCAAACCGGAGTCGGACAACATTATACATTGCTTACCAATGGTTTATCTCACAAATCCAATTACTATAAAATAAAACGCAGACGTTAATTAAAAAAAAAAAAAAAAAATTATCATGACGTCACATAAAAAAAAGTTAATATTACGATACGATTGTAAATATATATGAGTTTACATCTTTTAGTATATATATTAATATCAAGTATATATGCATCCTTTTCCTTTTTTTTTTTTAGTTACTTTCAAATCGCTCATCATCAACAATGATGTTCCTTCAAAAAAGTGTTCCAATTAATTTTTTACTATTCATTTAACGTGGCTGTAAATTTCATTATTATTAATATAATATTTGATATTGTAATAAAAAAAATAATAAAAAAAAAATAATAATAATAATAATTATTTTATCATATTTTTTTCCGTTTTTTTCTTATATTTAAACAAATTAAATTAAATTAAAAACAAAATGAATTTAAAAATTCATATACTCATTTGATATAACAATCACATAATTCAATTATTATTATTATTATTAATTTAAATTAAATTTTGTTTTTAATTTATTACAATGGCCTACACACACAACAAAAAAAAAATTTTATAAAATTTTTAACTAATACTAAAAAAAATATATATATATATATAATATATTTAACAAAACATATTGAATTTATATACTATTACAATATCGTGATAATAATGATAATAATAAAACGGTTTGGTAACTATATTCTTGATACAATTAAAAAATTTTATCATTTTTTTTTCAAAGAGTTCAACGACCTTTAAAAACAATTACCTGATAATAAAAACATAAAAATTTAAAAAAAAAAAAAAAAAAAATACAAATCAATTTTTAAATTTCAAAAAAAAAAAAACAATAATAATAATAATAATAATAATAATAATAATAATAATAATAATAATAATAAATAAATACAAATTTATTCATTTTTTAATATTTCGCCATTAAAAAATAATAATATTAATAATACTAGAAAAAGAAAATTAAAAAAAAAAATAAAGAAAAAATATTAAGATCAATTTATACTTAAAAAATTATCAAAAACTTAATAATAATAATAATAATAATAATAATAATAATGTTTTTTTAAGTTAAACACGCCATTAATAAACTACCTGAATGTTTAATTAATAATTTATTAACATATTTTATTGGCCCATTTTTGTTTTTGTTTTATCATTCATCAACAGCTGCCTAAATATACTGTATACATTTATTTCATAATTATTATTATTATTAATATTAAAATATAATGAAAATTCTACATATTATGATTTAATAGCTTGATAACCGAATAGCGATATACAAATTTTTTTTTTTTAACTTAAACAAATGAATAATTTTTAAAAAAAATTTCATTAAATGCAATACTTACAGAATGTTTAAATAATTACAATGGTTTTAATGAGATTATTATTATCATTATTACTTTTTCATTCAATCGATATCATTTTTTTTTTTTTATAATAAAGTTTAAATTATTATTAAAGATCTTCATTTACATTCAAATTATAATCTAAGAAAAAATAGAAAATAAAAATTAGATTATTAATTAATACAACAATTTATCATTTCAATACATATTAGTTATTAAAAAAAAAATAAATAAATAAAAAAATAGAGATAATAATAATAATAATAATAATTTCATTGATTCATTTTTTCTTCTCGATTTAACTATTAATTATTATAATAATAATAATCTAAACTTAAAAAATAACGGCAATATTAATAAATAATGTTTAATGGTAATTTTTCAATTTTTTGATTCTTTTTTTTTTTTTATGAGAAATACACAAATTATTATTATTATTATCATGTAAAATTAATAATTGTAAATTACTTCAGTCTATTTTTTTATCCAATTTATCATTCGAATCGATTATTTTAGTCGATGATGATCCATATGACACGCTTTTACATTTTTTACCCTTATGCCTTAATTTTTGTATGAGATCAACATTATCATCATTCAATTCTTTTTTGTAAAATGATTTGCTCTCTCCTCCATCTTTTTCTTTTGATATTTTTTTTTGTTTTAAATACTGAGCCTGCAATTGGGCTTGTTTTAATTTGGTCATTAACTGACCCGACTGGTACAGCCAACTCGCCTTAAATAAAAACATTATGTAATTATACAACTTTCTCAAATACATAAATGTACAAAATATTATCATCATTCTTATAAATGTATTAAAATTAATGAGATAATAATAATAATATTGCATTATTCGATAAATTTGAATGCTGACAGGAAATCGGGAAAAAAAAGTTTAGTAACATGGCAAGTTGTTGTTTCGAGGGTTTAAAAGAAATTCATAAACTCACCACGAGGACCATACAATTTAAAAGAATCGGTGTTGAGAAAACTAACGATATAAACATTCCCTTGCTGTCGAAATACTGTTGCTTTGAAAATAAGCTAAAATTAAATCGTAGTGATGAATTATCACAGAAATTTCAAAATAAATAAATTACAAGTATATATTTATTTATCAATATAATTCTTACTTAAAATGAGATGCAGCCAATTCGTTAATACTCTCAGAAAAATAAACTAAGCTCACTAAAAATTAGAATTAATTTATTAGTATTAAACAAAATCATTTTTTTTCTTATTGGCATTGTATTGTAATACAAAACTTACACAAAACTAAAAGTAAAACAACTTGAAAATTTCCATGATTTCGTGTGAGAACGGTTGTCATTGAAACACCTATGTGAAAAATAATTAAACCCACAAGCCATGGATCACTCCATTCGATCTAAAAATTATTTTTTTATAAAAAAAAAAAAAAAAAAAAAAATTTGTTAAAATAATAATTTCACAATTCAAAAACGACAAATTTAAAAATTAAATTTAAATTAAAATCATTTAAAACGATTCGTAATTAACGACTTAATTAATAACGTTTTTTAATTTAACGTAAACCTTACATTTTTTAATATTGTCAATAATCCGTTAATTTCATCAATTTTAAAATCATCGGGTTCCGCCATTTTAATTTTTTTTGCCGTGAAATCAGTGAAATGTTAAATTACGAACATTGTCGAACATTGCCGAACGGTAATCCCTTCGAAATAATAATCGTTAAATCTCTCTTCCGTATGCGCTCATCATCCCCTAAGTATCATCCCTATTATTATCAATTCGCCCTCTTATCAAAATTTTTTTTTTTTTTATACTTTCATACACCACCTGAATTACGGATTAAAATTTCATTTACTTTTCAAAAAAAAAATTATTTTTTTTTCATCGATAATCTCATTAAATTATGTAATAATAATAATAATAATATAATAATAAAACCGAGACTGACCCTGAATATTATTTAAATCGTACTTTATTCATATGATCAAAGTTCGAAATTTTTTTCTTTTTTTTAAATGAAAACAAACGTTAAAAAAATTTTTTTAATAAAAAAAAAAAAAAAAACTTGACGTCGTCTTTTCCTTTCACACACAAAAAATTAGCTCACGAACTAAATTTTAAATTTAAAAAAAAAAATTGCTTTTCTTCCTGATACTTTTGCATGTTACTTTTTTTAAAAAAAAAAAAATGGCGTCCCATATTTTTAACGAATGAATATTTTATGTAAAAAAATAAATTATTCACAAATATCCATTAAAGTTTTAAAGAATGTTCTATTTGTCGATTATAATAATAATAATAATAATAATAATAAGTAAAAGGTAAACGAAATGGGGATTTTTCAAGTTTGAACAACACGTGAAGAATTAAATAATAATAATAATTATGTATTTTCCAAAGGATTTGATTGTAAATGAAAAAGTTTCGGATTTCGATTAGAAAACTCATTTTTTTTTGTTCTTTTGTGTGAAAACAATAAGAGAAATAATAATAATAGATAGATAGATAGATAGATAGAAGATAGATGATAAATTTATCTTATTTCATTATATGCGACACGTTTTTTTAATAATTTCAGAATTGAATTCTTTGTCTTCATTCTTTTTTGAGGAAGAGAGATAATATTAGGATATCCTAAACAATTTAAATGTGTTACAATGTATACAAAACAACCGATACATGTTATAATAATAATAATAATAATTTCGTAAATGGACGTGATTTTCATGTGAACTTTGACTGTTGATAAGAAACTTAATAATGATTAATTCTTATTATGTCTCATCAAATTTTCTTTCTTTTACCATAATAAACGTCCTTCAAACTCATACTTTTTTTTTTTTTTCTTTTTTTTTTTGTAAATATATTTTAATAGTTTAGGTCAGTTTGTGTTTTTCAGTAGTAGTCATCCACCGAGTTTTAACCACCCCCCTTGGGAGAACACACACATTAGTTTGTTATTGTTGTTGTTGTTGTTTTGTGCGTATTGTTTTTCATCGTGAGTGTTATTTTACCGTTAGTATTATTATTATTATTTTTTTAAATAAAGGTAAATTAATGTTTTGATATACACGCGAGTTAACGAGGATGGGATTTAAAAAAAAAAAAAAAAAATGGCGACCTAAAATTGATTTTTAATAATTTAAACTCGAGCAAAAAAGAAAGAAAATGGACGTCCGATCGATATTATTATTAATTATTAATTTGCTTTTTTTTTTTTTTTTATTTATTTAATTCCGTTAAAAAATTAATAAGTCATTAATTTCATTTCACTTCCGTTAGTAAAAATAATAATAATAATTTTTGATGGAAAATTTTGTTTTGTATTTTTACCCGTAGGAAAATGGGTCGTGATTTAAAATTAGAATTAGAACCCCTAACTCCCGAATTGATAAAAAAAGCGGAAGTAGAATTACGGGAAACTCCGGAACGTGTAGAAGAATCCGTTGAAGAATTGAAAAAATTATTAAAACAAAATTCAAATTTATATTACGATCATTCACCGGAAGTTTTAATAAGATACCTTAGACCTGTTAAATTTTATCCGGAAAGTGCTTTGTCTTTGGTAAGTAAAAACCTTTTTGCCTTTTTTTGCGACGTTTAAAAAAAGGAAAATAGTTTTTCCGTTAAATTTCCCTCCAGTAATTTTTTTTAAATCGTAAATATATTTAGATGAGAAGAATAGCAGAATTTAAAGAAAAAAATAAAGATTTACTCACCGGTCTCATGCCGGAAAAAGTTGAAAAAATTATGTTGAACGAAGATATTGTTAACGTGCTCGCTAACAGAGATCACAAGGGAAGAAGAATATTGATTAACAAAGCTGGAAAAGCTTGGGATCCTAAAAAAGCAACTCCAGATCAAGTTTTTCAAATGTTTTATTTGATTCATCAAGGTGCACTGCTGGAACCTGCAACACAAGTCAATGGAGTCGTTGTTATTTTAGATTTTGACGGATTGGGAATGGCACAAGTTCTTGCATTAAGTCCAAGCTTTTCTTTAAGGCTTTTAAATTTTATACAGGTGCCTATCATTAACTGTAATTCAAGTTTAAAACCATTCATTTTCTTCAAAATTTCTGTACAAAATTTTATTTTTAGGATGCTATGCCATTAAGACTGAAAGAAGTTCACATAGTTAATCAACCTTGGTTGTTTAATATGGTTTGGAAAATTTTTAAACCCTTGGTTAAAGAAAAATTAAATAAAAGAGTAAGGAAAATTCAATCGATTTCTAGCCAGATTTTTTTTATGTTTTTATTTATTTTTTTTTGTTGAATTTTCCAGCTGCATTTTCACGGTAATAAATTACAAGAATTGCATAAATTCATTCCGAGAGATTATCTTCCAGAAGATTATGGCGGAAGTCTTCCAAAAGTTGATTATTCTGCAAAGGATTGGTATCCGATATTAAGAAGTTTGGATGATTCCATTAGAGGTAAAACAAATTTTATTTGTTATTCCCTTACAAAATGGCTTTATTATTATTATTATTATTATTATTATTATTATTATTATTATTATTATTATTATTATTATTTGGTAAGGTTTCATCCTTAAAATCAAATTGAGGAAAAATAATAATACAAAAAATTTCCATTTTAAAAAAAAACTATTAATATAATTTTATCGGGACAAAAAAAAATTTTGTAATTTAAATTTAACGTTTGTTTATTTAACGATCCGTTTGTTTGTTCGTTTGTTTGTTTGTTTGTTTGCGTCTGTTCAAAATACATCGAATCATGTATTTATAAATTAAAGTTTTTAAAACGAGTATTAAATTAGTTTCGAATGTCATTCTTTTTTAAAACGTTAATGCAAAGATAAATTAAACGACGCCCTAGGGAAACCAAATAATAATAATATTAATAATAATAATAATAATAATAATAATAATAATAATTTAAATTTAAATTTAAAATTTAATATTTCTTTTCTTTTATTTATTTACAGAAAACAATAAATATGGACTCGTTAAACAATCCTGATGTTTTATCAACGAATGATTTTATTTTCTCTGTTTTTTTTTTTGTTGTAAAGAAAAATTTTTTTTTTTTTGTTAAATACATAAAATTTTTATTTTTTTGTTTTCAAAGTTTAAAACTAAAGAAAATCCTTTTTAAAACAAATAATAATAATAATAATAATTTTTTTAAAAAATGAAATTCAGGTGCGAAACGTTTTGAAGGTTCGAAATGAAAGGTATCCTTGTTAAATAAATAAATAACTAAGTAAAAAGAATCGTTAAAACTTCAATAATTTCGTAATTATTATTTATTATTAAAATTATTATTATTATTTATTTACAAACTTTTCAATCAGTAAAATATATTACGTAATAAGTTATTAATTAATAAAAAATTAATTAACGTTAACTCGAGATTCGTAATAAAAAAAAAAAAAAAAAAAAAAAAACGTTAATAATTTTACTGGAAAATTTTATTTAAAAAGAAAACAATTAAGTGAAGGCACGAGTTAACAATAATAATAATAATAATAATAATAATAATAATAATAAATAAATAAATAAATTTATTTAATTAATGATATCAAAGTCCATTAATAAAAATCAAACTGTTGTTGGAATTTATTACGATTTGATTAAGACCCTCTCCGACAAAGTTTTTTTTTTTCGTCGAAAACCGCCGTATTTAATGGAGGGAGAGGGGAGGGGGGAAACGTCGGTAAATAATCGATGATGAGCTAAAAAAGGAAAGGAAAAAGGAAAAGGTAAAGAAAACATTTAAAAAGCTTCTTCGTCGGTTTGCCAATGGGAAACAACAACAACAACAACAACATTAGCATGTTAATATTAAATTGTCTCTCGTTCAATGTAAGCCTGACCTGTGATGTAATCAGGTGTCGATTTTCAATGTGTTATTTTTATATTTTTAATTATTATCATCATCATTGATTTCGTTTTATTCAAGGTACCTACACACACGCACACGCACAAATGCGTAATTAATTTAAAAAAAATTTAAAAGTGTTTTTGTAATTTAATTACATCAAGGTACGTATTTTTATATTTTTGTCTCATACGTAAAAAAAAAACAAAATGGCGGCGATTAAAAAATTTTATTTATTTTTAATTAAAAATTTAATAGAGTGAAGCAAAATAATAATAATAATAATAAACGTTTTCTTTTTTATTTCGGTAAACAAAAATAAAATTTTTCATCGAACGTCTTCTGCTACGTTAAAAACACGATATTAAATTACACTGCATTACCTACGTACATATAGATACTCACGACGGTACGTATTTTAAAATGTTTATTTATTTAATCTCAAAAATTTAATTATTAATAATTAATGACTACAAAATTATGTACATGAAGTAAAAAATAAATTTACATAACTTTACTTAAAATTTTCTAGAAAAAAAAATAAATTAATTAACGATCTTGCATCTTGCCGCAAATAATTTTTTTTTTTTTTTTTTTGTGAATTCCGCAATAACGATTGCATTTTAATTGTTTTTAATAATAATAATAATAATAATAATAATAATAATAGGTTTACGTAAAAGAGCCTACCTAAACCTTAGAGGTATTTTAAATAAGTCACTGACTGGTTTCAAGGCTAATAAAAAAAACAATGTGAAATTATCGTGTGTGTGTGTGTGTGTGTGTGCGTCATTTAAAAATGTCATTTCATTGTCTTGGTCAGTCAATTCATTTCGCTCATAAAAACTTTTATTAAATATTATGTAAAATGATAATAATAATTATCAGAACGGCATGGTACGTTCGCAAACAAAATTGTTTTCCCTGACATTTTCCGACATTTTCCAAACGGGATTTAAATACAGCCTTCATTTAAAAAAAAAAAAAAAAAAAAAAATTTTTTTTAAAAGTTTTTCCCCATAAAAAAATTTTTTTATTAATACCATTATCTCTCTCTCTCTCTCTCTCTCTCTCTCTCTCTCTCTTTCTCTCTCTCTGTCTTTCTCTCTCTCTCTCTCTCTCTCTCTGTTTCCCTCTCTCTCTCTCTCTCTCTCTCTCTCACACACACATTTCAAGGGAAATAAAGGGGGGGGGAAAAACCTTTTTAAATTTTCTTTTAGGGGGAAACTTTTTAACTAAAAAAAAATTATTTTCATCGACAAATGACCCATTTAAAGAAGGGAGAAAAAAGGCATATTGATTACAACTCGAACGACATTTTTTTTTATTTTGTTACGTCACTCGAAAGCTAAACATGCGACCGCGTGTGATATTTAAAATATAATAATAATAATAATAATAATAATAATAATAATAATAATAATAATAATAATAATAATAATTGTAAATTTTACGCAATGGATTAATTAATACTTATGTAAATAAATTTTAAAAAAAAAGGGTTTTTAATTTTTACCACGTGGATAACTCAATACCACCCCCTCGTACGTGGATTTATATTAAAAAAAAGAGTAATAATAATAATAATAATAAAAAATAGGGGATGAATTATTGTCGTGTTCTTCATATTTTTATATATAATGTAAATGCATACGAGAACATAATAGGGGGGAAATTTTAATTATTTTTTTTTTTCTCGGAGTTTTTACTTGTTGGGGAATATCAAGCTTCAACACGCATGTGATACTACTATATATGAATCACAATGAATGTTAAAACGTTTGCTTTCAGTTTACGGTTTTACTTTTTTTCTGAGTGTTTGTTACATATAAAATTTTCCTTTTTCTCTATTTTCCTCTCACTCTCACTATCTCACTATCTCTCTCTCTCTATTTATTGCTGTCGTAAATGTATTTTCCCGTAATAATTATAATAAATAAAAAAAAAACAATTAAAATTATTTACAATATTATAAATAAATTATTATGTGTTTGACGCATCATCATCATCGAAATTAATTATTCGAACGGATAAAAAAAAAATTTTCGTTTGTTTGTTTGTTTGTTTGTTTCGTCGTATTTTTTGCTAAACAAAATGTCGCCGAATATATTTACAGACAACAGTGAGGAAATATTTAAAACCCCACCATATTATTTTCAACAAGGTAAATAAAAAATAAATGATTTTCTTTCTTATTAAATTTTTCATATCGTTTCGTATTAAAATCAGGTACGAAAACAATTTTTTTTTTTTTTTTTACTATCAATCACGTGTGTGAATCATTAACGGAAATCATTTTTATTAAATAAGCACGTTGAATTATTATTATTATTATTATTATTATTATTATTATTAATTATTAAATAATTTTTTATGCAACGAGAAAGAAAATTGTGTGCGTTTGAAATAAAAACCGGTTTTTCCTTTTCTTTTTTTCTTTCTGGATATTTATTTATTCCGTGCGAATTTTATTTATTTTTGGTACATTTTATTTAATTTTCCCACAGAGGAATAATAATAATAATAATAATAATTTAAAACGGAAAAAATATTTCGAAATGTGACGTAACGCATCCCCTCCCCCCCTCGTCCTCCCTCCCCACTAATATTCTCACAGTAACGAAATCAATTTTATAAATTAATTTTATTTTATTTAAATTATTTGTTTTATAATGGATGATTCATTATCATTATCATTATTATTATATTTTATAATAGATAAAACGATTTAATTATTATTATTACTATTATTATTATTATTTATTATTTAATCAGAAAGATTTAATAAATCTATTTTTTTTTTAAAATTTATTTCGACTTTTCCGACTTTCCACTTTACAAAATTGTTTTTTCTATTTTTTTTTTTACACGAATGGATATGTAATAATTATTAATAACTTATTAAAATGATAATAATGATAATAATAATGATAATAAAAAATTTTTGTTTTAAAAAATAAAAATTTTCGAGCTTTTAACTGTTTTGAGCTTTTGTTTT